CAGTTGATGGCATTAGAACAGTTCAATCGACAAGAACAGGCTGGTTTATCATTGACGACTGTGCACCTTGAGTATGGCGGGGACTTGCACTCGTATTTATAACAAGCATCTGAAATTAATGGCAAAACGTTGCTTTTGGTTAAAGAGATTCCTGGTTATAGATACTACGACAGAATGTTGTACATTTACATACAGAAAGACAATGCTTTTTCTATCAAATCCTGTAATAAAATTTGAAAGAAAAAAATCCAAATGAAAAATATAAACCATATAAGAAATATAGAAAGGGAAATGTGAACTTACTACAGTGTCCCTTTCTGCTGACAGTTATCATCTTGTTACTTCTACAAGCGGCGCGTCTCATTTGACATTCGTTGTCGTAAGAATTACCGTCAGATCCACAGACATAGTCCATGGTCACGGGGCATTGTGACGGACAGACGCACCCTGCTTTGTCGTTGATAGCCTCACACGAGGAGTAGGGCTTTGATTTGCAGTTAAATTTGTAGCATGGATCTGGACATCAAATATAGAGAAGAACATAAAGACAAAAATAAAGAATTGATAAAATTGTTAGAAATATATTATTAAAAAAAAATAATTTTAAGAAGATATACCTTCTGCGAGAGTTCTTCTTGAAAAAAATGTCCATTTTCATATATTTTATGGTATATTCTTAAAAAACGAAAATGGTTTTATTTGCTATACCAAATGACACAACAGAAGCGAAACTTACCACAGTGTCCTTTTCTGCGGACGTTAATCATCTTGTTACCAATACAAGCTGCTCGTCTCATCTCGCACTCGTTTCTATATGAATTACCGTCAGCTCCACAAACCCAGTTGATGGCATTAGAACAGTTCAATCGACAAGAACAGACTGGTTTATCATTAACGACTGTGCACCTTGAGTAAGGAGGGGACTTGCAGTCGTATTTATAACAAGCATCTGAAGTTAATGACATAAAGTTGAATTATTCTCATTTTGGTAAAACAATTTGTATAGACAGAGTAACGATGTATGATTCCAGAATTTTCTTACGATTGCATTAAAGTGCAAAGTGAAAAAGCATGACCACATTCAACTCATTTGCATACTTCTATACACTACTTTTTGCCTGCCAAACGAGCCTTTTTTGGTAAAAGCAGCCAGCTTTGCATCGAAATATGTCGGTTTAACGTACATAACCTGTACATAGAAGTATACAAATACATTGATGTTGTCATAATTTCCTGTGAATCTACAAATATTGCATGTCAGCATATATCGGCAAAAGTTTTTAGAAAATTTAAATGATTAAGGAGATTTGTAAAAAAGGAGAAGAAACTAACACAAATAATATCCTTCACTTTCATATATAACTTATTACTATGAAAAAAATATTACCCCTACTAGCTCTGCGCATTTGATTATTTATTCAATTTGCGTACTATAGATAATAAATATTATTATTACTCTCACAGTATACGTTTGGATCTTTTTGAATTTTTCCGAACATTCAGATCCATGCGAACCGTGGAATCCATGGCGTATCTATTTTTTTTGCTGGTAATGGATCGGAGTTTTTGCACCATCACGTGCCCATGACCGTAACACAGCTTGGACTGCCTGTGGTTAGATGGCAAACCAATAAAATTTATTTGTTCTAGGAAATTGAATTCTTTTTTGTAGAAAACGATTGTATTAATCCTGCCATCTAATATTGCTTCTGCCACTTGATGGTGCAACTCTATCCCCACAACTTCCACCCCAATTTCCACTTTGATACACTTCGATTTCAAATAGTAAAATTGGAGTTAGAAAGTATACTCACTGCAGTGTCCCTTTCTGCGGACTGTGATCATCTTGTTACTTATGCAAGCGGCTCGTCTCATCTCGCACTCGTTTTTATATGAATTACCGTCAGCTCCACAAACCCAGTTGATAACAAAGGAACATTTCAAGCGACAGGAACAGACAGGTTTGCCTTTGACGACTTCACAGGATGAGTAAGGTGGTGAGGAACAATCAAAGCGTTTGCAAGGATCTAAAAAAGGGGGAAGAAAAAAAAATTTCAATGAAGAACACGCTGCTCACAGGTAGCAGGAAAAGTAGCACCCTCCGTATTTTTGAAGCCCTGCATGGGATGGCCAGTGACTAATCCCAAGATCTACTATACACTGAATAGACTCGACTCACTGTATAGACTTAAAATGGGATAACCTTAATTTCAACTTGATCCGATTGTTAATTTTTGTAAGTAATCATAAGTTCATGAGGGTAATCATACCACAGACTCCCTTTTTCTGTACTGAAATGGTCTCGTTCTTTTTACAAGCATCCTGACGCATCATGCATTCATTTGGATAGGTCTTGTTATCGGATCCACAAACTGGATCAGTGGTGTTCTCGGGACATTCCTCACATTTGCAGCTTATGATGCCTGTATACTGGTCTGCCTCACACATCATTCCAAAGACAGGAAAGATAAAAGCTGTAAAACAGTAAGATAAGTTTTGTATAAAGAGGCATTGTTTGTCAAAATGAAACATCTGGCGGACAGATTGAAAAAAAATATAATTTCTTCATATTTGGTCTAAAGATGTAAAATACCACCTATTTTAAAATATTTAAAATATAACGCGCGCTGATTGGCTGGCAACCGTGTTTATATCAGAGAAAAGAGAAAAATCGTTCAAAAATATTTTATAAAAGCAATAAAGAAACGCCAGCTTATATCTCTGTACTGTGATATAAACACTCTGGGAACTGTATATCACTCGAGAAGCAAGAGAGATAATAGACTGATTTCACTTTTACTTTGAGAAAACTGAGAAATCAATTTTGGCCTTTGGCGCCCTCAATTCTCTCTAAATCGAAGCTAAAAATGGTAATTCTAGTAAAAGCGATCGATATAGGCTGAATAGAGTGCGCCAACGGCCAAATTTTTATTTAGGTAGTATTCCACATCTTGATGAATTGTGTGTTGATATATTCTCGAATAAAAAAGAATGCCAGTGAATTGGTTTCTTAATCTTGCCTAATAGACCCTATGCAAATGCTTAATGTTTTACCTTGGCTTGGCTTGACGCATTGTTTATGGCAACCACTGGAACAGCATTTCAATTTAGGAGGGCAATCACTATCGGATTTACACTGATCAGGTCTACCGTCGCACTCTCTACCAAACAGTCCTTTCCAATTCATTGGACATGTTCCTTAATAACAAAAAATAAATAAGGATAATAAAAAAAGCATTTTATTTTACAAAATCAATTAACAGTGAAATTAGTCAAAGAATGAAAGATGATGGAAAGGGTTTTGTAAAAAGATGAAAATAGTAAGGAAGCTGTAGGAATGAACAAAACGAAGAATAAAGTTAGATAAACTTAGATACATCTTATCGCAAAGATGTTGTTATATATATCCATATAGTGTACACAAATACGGCTTTGTTAGTTTCACATAACAAGATTCCTTCAATTAAGTGTATATATAAAATAAGTAGAACATTTTATACCACAAGCTCCTTTACTGTGTACTGAGATGGTCTTGTTCCTTTTACAAGCATCCTGACGCATCATACATTCATTAGGATAGGTCTTGTTATCGGATCCACAAACTTGATCAGTGTTGTTCTTGGGACATTCCTCGCACTTGCAGTTGATGATACCAGAAGTTTGGTCTGCTTCACATACAGCAAAGGACGGAAGTGCAACGGCTGAGGAGACAATATGGCGTTAACTAACTATATTGTTTTATTTTTCAATGTGTTCTGCCATGATATATTTTTCAATAGTTTTCTTTACCTTGGTTTGCCCTGACGCACTGTGTGTGACATCCACTTGAGCAACACTTCATTG